AGCACGTGGCTCGGTTCTGACCAAGATGGGACTCCTTCAGGAAAAACTGGTATAACAATGAAATTACAGGTTGACTCAAGGTTCACCTCTACTGACTTGTTCTGGAGCTTTTGACTGTATCACACAGGTTTCAACAGCAAGTTGAGTTTCCTCGGTTCTCATGAAACGGTAAATGTTCCCAATTTACATGTTTCCAAGGTCAAGAAAGAACCATCAAACTCAAAATTACATGTTGTTAGATAAAGTCTTTTAAAGCCTTTAAATCTTAGCAGTCACTGGTGGTGGATTTCAGATGCAGCAAGAGGCCACACACCCCTGTCATAATAAGGGGTGAGGGAGTAGAGATGGTGGACACCTACAAGTTCCTGGGGGTTCAACTAAACAACAAATTGGACTGGACAGACACAACAGCAAGAACCTCTACAGGAAAGGACAGAGCCGGCTGTTCTTTCTGAGATGGCTCAGGCCATTCAACTTGTGCGCCAGACTGCTACGGATGTTCTACCAGGTGGCATCGGGACTTGTGGCGCCAACAAACTGGGCAAGTGAGGAAGGCCAGCTCAGAGGTGGGGATGGAACTGGACATTGTGGAGGCAGTGACTGAGAGGAGGATGAGAGGGAAGCTGAAAACCATCATGAACAACCTCTCTATGCTGAGCTGAGGCAGCTCAGGAACTCCTTCAGCCACAAACTCATCAAGCCCCGAGCCTCAAAGCGCTTTGGAGGCTCATTTGTGCCATCAGCCATCAGGCTCCACAACACCACAGCACCAAACTGACGGAACTCAATTCCTGATTATCTCTCAGTGACATTTATCTGGTTGTAAATAATTATCGTATATCGCATATTAATTGTATAAAGTGTGTAAACAATGTGTTAATATTTAAACATCTACATAGAATGCTATTTGTATACCGATCATATATAGTGAGTATACAGTGTATACATCTATATTTATACATCTGGTTGAATGTCACTGATTCTACATTATTGCATCTGTTCTTTTACTTTTCTCGGTGCTGCTATGTGAACCTAAATTTCCCGTATGGGGGATTAATTAAGTTACATCTTATCTTATCTTACTAATAATCCTTTTATGGTAATAACTTATTGTAGGAGGGGGAGGGGAGTATATGTGCTTAACAGTGAAAGTAAACTGACTGCATTTGAAAAAGCTATTTACAATTACCAACACACTCACCCTTTTGCTTTTCAATTTCTACAATTATTTTATTACTTGTGAAGTAGCTGAAGTAAGATTTATTAAGTTAAAACATTGGCCTTTTAATGATGCAAGAATGTTTTATTATTGCCATTATATAATCTCATCCCATCTGTCATTTAAATACACAAGAAAGAGTTTAAAAAAGAATCACTTTAACAGGATAGAAGTTGGTGTTGCTCTAACAGGAAGTTGTTTACTTTAACCATAGTCTTTGAGTTAGGCCTACATCTGCCACTTATCTCTCCTAAAAGCGTTTTGTATTTATACATTTATTTTAACAAAGAGGCACCACATGGTTAAGTACCTGGGAGGACAGGTCGCTCCACACTGTCTGGCCTTCATCCTGGACGGTGACAGACTTCACTCCGGACAGGATCACATTCTTGGCTATTTCTACTCCAAGACCACGCATACCTGCTATGAGGACGTTGGCTGTGCCCATCCGGTGCATCGCCTCATGACCCAGAACATACCTGTGCAGGTAAAAGTATAAGTGGATCTGACGGCCTGCGGTCTATACAGTTAAACTCATCCCTCATCAGAGTGTGGTGCCGGTGGTACTTACAGCTGTCTGGAGTAGAATCCTTCATCGATTTCACCGATTACTGACATGGTGCGCTTAAACTGACAGTATCCAATATGAGATGACCAGTTTGAACGGATCAGTTGAACTGACACCTCACTACAACAACCAAACAGGTCTCATCAGGAACAGAAAGTAAATCGGTGTGACAAATGATCACTTTCGTTTCAGATCTTAGTTTCAGTTTCCAGAAGGACTTCCGGCTTTGGCCACTAGAGGGCGACTAATGACTGTTTGTCGATTGTGGTTTGGAAGCTAGAAATGGAGGATCTGAGTGGGACGCATACACATAAGTTTATGTAGGCTATTCGTTAGTTCGGGAACTCCTGAGATTATCAGATATTTTGAAGGATTTTTCTTGCCTATATAAAGTCCTACTCAACTCAAAACTGTTTTCTGTTCATTGTGACTTCACTTGAATGTTTGATCTTACAGTGTTTTACAAGTTTTTTTTCAGTGAGGGAAAAGGAGTAGATGTGATTTTTAGGACAATTTTAACCAGTTAACTGACGTTTTTTTGTGGAAAAACCATATCAGATAAAACTTATTATTCAAATGAGTATTAGTATTTTCATTTGTCTTAAAACATGTCTGAAGGGCACCTTTAACATTTCCATGGGAACAATAACAGTGATACACCCTAATATTGCTTAATGTGTCTATCATTCAGTTCAGCAAGCTTAGTCTGGAGAAGAGTAAAATACCCTTACAGAAGAAAGTATTGCAGTGACCAGACATTATTCATCATTACATATCAAGTTGAGGCAGTAAGATGACAAACCATGTTATGAATGAAGAACAGACAACTTTAAAATAAGATTTAAAAAGTAGCCTGCAATTACATTTAATATGATGACTCAATTGCATTACTTCATAAAACAGATATCATTTTGTGTGGTACAATTTCAAAAAAAAGGATCATATTGTCACTGTAAGGATTTTGAAAGGAAAATGAATAGTTCATGAAATACGTTTAGTTGCCAAAGTTTTATTTCCAGAAAACACATCTTTTTTTTTTTTTTTACATGTATGCGCACTATACAAGAAGCGTTTATGAACCATCAAATTCATTTATTTATTCCTAATAACCACTGAATATAGTATATAGATCACTGTCAATCACTGTCAAAGATGTTCCTCTGGCAGAAATTACAGTAATCATTTTTATTTGTATATGCTTTTTCAGACTAATCAACATATTACAGTATTTTGTGTGGATCAGATGGTTTATTGACAGTATCACTTTTTTTATATACATACCCTATCCAATAGACAGTGTTTGGTAAACCATAATAAATTGACACATTTAAAATCATCCTTAAACACAAAACTTGAGCTTATGGTACAATTAGACACTGATGTAAACAACATAAATATGGTTATTTGTTTTACTGTAATTATAATCAGAATGAATAGTAGGATAAAATTACTGTACAGCTAAACCTATAAACAATAAAGCTAAACTATCTGAAACAACAAAGCCTAACATCAAGTAAAAGTTGGCTTTGTCACTCACAAATAACCATTTTATGGAAATTTACTTTAAAACCTTCTCTGTGAATTTGATCTTAGAAATACATTTTGGAGATGATCCCGCAACACAAAATATTTCTTACGCGAACATTATTCATCATTACGTATCAAGTTGAGGCTAATGTAATCTAATTTAATCTAAATTTCATAGCTCAGTTTACTGCAGGTATGTTTGTTTAGTCCTACATACTCTTAAGTGAATTCTCCTTTGGAAGAATATGGTAACGCAAACTTTTCACAGTCACATTACAACATTATATGAGGTGGTGTTACTAGAGAGTGAATACATTCTTCTCATAACTTCCTGGCTGGAGTTGCCTGTATGTGAGGAGTAACTTCATTCCTCATCTGCAAGCAATGCATTTTTGGCAAAAATCCTACAGGCATCAAGATAGGACACACTGTTTACAAATGGTGATAACGTTTTTCCATTACTTTTGACACTATGACGCCTGTGTGGAAAAAGGAGTTGCAGTTGGTGATATGATATGACTCTTGGGAAGGAAACGATGAGGATATTTTTGAAGTGGTCAGATTTCGCAAGTATTTTATACTTCCTTGTTGCGGGCGCGGCTTGAGAGGACAGCACCAGCACCTACTTGAGGAATATCGGAGTCAAGCAAGTCAGATTGACTACAGGATTTCCAGTCTTCAACTTTCAAAATAAATCTTAAATCTCTCTCTCAGAACATGTTGCAACATATGGGGACAATTTAATATAGGGTACTTATTTAAAACCTTTGGTGGAGGAAATAGTAGGCTATATTCAGATTATTTGGCCTACCCAAGGAAAAGTACTAATACCACACTGTAAAAATAACCTGTTACAAGTAAGACTAACTGATTAATTGACTAATCACTTCAGCTGCACTTCTAGTTTGATTAATAATATCATATGTTTTGAATGCAAAAGTCTTAATTTGTAAAGTAACTAGTACTAAAGCTGTCAGATGATATATCAAAAGTGCAATATTTCCTTCTGAAATGTAATGAAGTATTAGTATAAAGTAGCATGAAAAGAAAACACTAATGTATAGTAAATCAAATGTGTACTTAAAAAGGCTACAGTTCTTGAGTAAACGTACGTTCCCCCACTGTTTTAAATAAAGTGCATGGTTCTGCTCAAATGCAAGGATGTTTACAAATATCATTCTGAACTGTAAAGTGTTATAGTATAATCTGTGGCTAATGGTTATATTGTGACTATTGTTAGAGTATGTATAGTAGCTTATGTATACCTTATTGTACAGCTCTTATTACTTACGGACATACATCATATGACTGCACAATGCTCAAATCATGTTTTCAAATCAGCATATAAAAGGCTTTTGAACATAATTTCCATTATTTCTGATTTTAAAAAGGCTCATTTGTTACTGTTTCCTCCCTCTTTAGATGATTTCATTAAACTGCTGCAGCGTTGTTAAAGTTTTGTCTGATCTTCCTATTATTATTGAATAAAAGAAAATTAGCAGTTAACCATTAGTCAAAAAAGCAAATACATATTTGGTATGCACCGAATTCTTGCTGAAAACATCAACAACGATAATCATCACAGTCCAGCATGAGGGCTGTGTGTGTGTCCGGCGCGCTTTTATTTTGAAGCTAGGTGTAAGATCCTGTTTTCATCTATAGACTGTAGGCTATCTAAATGACACGATGCAGTTCAGTATCATTGTAAACTCCGTGCCAGTGGATCTTCGGCGCTGTCAGGTGAGTTCTCTGCTGCAGGTCAGTGAGTGGAGCTTCACTAACACAGGACATTTCACTCGTAAGGAATTCACATTTTTGAGACAGCTGAACAAATTACATCCAGGTAAGATGATTTTTCTTTTAAATTTGACCATATTATTAATGGAGGATGTCTAGAGTAGCTGTTGGTCCATGTTAATGAATTAATGGAAACACGCCTTTGTTATAACTCACAGCTCATCAGCTTAGTTGCGAGAAGATGTTATTTTACCGTAAATAGCCTACCAATTATAGGCTACTATTTATAGTTCTCTTGACTTAAATGCTCTCACCCCATAGAGCCGTGAAAGTTATTCTATGTTGTGAAACTTTTAAAATAGTTGTCCGTTGCAAAGTGGTGTTAATTAATAAGAATATATGATAACTACTGAAGCATTTGTAAGCTACCCATTAATTTAGGTATTTTAACGTTTAACTCAGTTATTGCTCGATGTTTAATCTCGGTAGGCCACTCTGGAGGCCTGGACATTTTCAAAGTTACTTTACAGGTTGAAGCAAGTCATGACTTGCCTATAGCAGATTATATCTTGATTCTGAGAACTTTTTATTTTTCCACGGCCATTATCAGCTATAAGTTAAAAGTGTCACAATCTTGCTTCTCTCAACTTGTTGATGCCTCAATTAGAAAAAGCAGCAACTACTTAATCACGGGGACTGGAGAGAGAACAGCAGCTGATACTTTTTCCTCTTTCCTCAGTTCCTCTTGGTGTATTTAACAGTTTATACATTATGTTACCATGGATGTGGATAGCTTACAGCCTACACCAAAAGCAGTGAATCTCTGTTGAATGTGAGAATCGAATGTTGCTGCTCTCTTGTCTGTTAAATCTCAGCATTCCTTCTCTGTTTTCCCTCGCAGAGCTCCTGCTGGTTCTCCAGAATGTTCTATTTGAGGAAAGTATCTTATAGGTAGCACTCAATCACGGTGGACTGTGACGTGGAGATGGTCACTTGGGCTGCCTTACTGACAGTGTGCATGTGTATACAAACGCAAACTGCCTCAGGACAGCAAACATGTGCTTCTACACCACCCAGGGTGGCGGATTTTACTGTAAAATACTCCCTCCCCTACTTCCAAACAGACAAACCTATACAGAACATAGCAGTGAACTTAGAGGGGCATCAGCCAGATGTGTATGTTGCATGCCAGAATGTAATAGAGGCGGTAAGCTATTCTATGGAAAAAATATGGGAGCTGAAAACTGGGCCTGTTGGCAGTCCTGAATGTAAAACATGTCAGGTGTGTGCCATAAAAACAGACCCAGGGGATCCAGTGGATACAGACAATGAAGTTCTACTATTGGATTCTGATGGATCTCCCAATCCCTACTTGTACATTTGTGGGAGTACACAGCATGGGATCTGTTACTTCATTGACATTGGAGAACTACAGCCTAAGTGTTTATATAGAAAGGAGCAAAACTCTCCAACCAACTGTCCAGACTGTCTGGCCAGCCCACTTGGCACCAAAGTCACCATTGTTCAACAGGCAGCCACATCGCTCTTTTTTGTAGCAGCCTCTGTCAATGACAAAGTGGCACAGAGGTACCCAAGGAGGTCGATATCAGTGATGAGGCCGCTTTCAACTGAAGATGGCTTTCATATGGTCATGAATGGGCTGACAGTACTCCCTGGTCTACGGGACTCTTACAAGATTGACTACATCTACAGCTTCTCCACAGAGGAGTATGTGTACTTCCTGTCCCTGCAGAGAGAAAATCCATCAAAGAGCAATTCGCCTTTTCAGACTCGTCTAGGACGACTGCCAATATTGATCCCAGAGGTGTGGATGTACAGAGAGGTGGTCCTGGAGTGCCGGTATGAGCCAAAGCGCAGGAGGAGAAGGAGAGATGGCTTCAGGAGCATTGTGTATAACGGGCTACAGGCAGCATACTTTGGACGAGCGGGGAAGGACTTGGCAGATGAGCTGAGATTGGACGAGAGAGATGACATTCTGTATGGGGTGTTTTCAGAGGTGGATGTGCGTGGTCACCCTAAAAAAAACTCAGCCCTGTGTGCCTTCTCTTTGACTAAAGTAAACCATGACATTGATAAGGGTGTGGAAGCTTGCTGCACGTCAGGTCCAGAGCAGCTGTCTAGGGGTCTCTGTCACTTCCAGCCGTGCGAGAGCTGCCCACATGAGGTGAGGAACAGTACAAAGGTCCCCCTATGATGAGACAGGAAATGACCTATCCCGACAAACACTGTGTAATTAAGTCACCTGTGACTGGAACAGTGTAGTTTATCATTAAGCATACAGTTTTATATTGTCTTGAGCAATAGAGGGATAGTATGAGACACCGCAGCAAGTAGATCTTGACTGCTGGAATACTGTACACCTGTGGCAACTCTGACGAAGGTGTGTGTGAGAGAGCAGGGCCAGATGAGAGAACTGGGAGGGGTGGATGAGTCAGTAGTGTGACCTGGACATGGCCAAACAGTTTTTCTGCTCTGTTAAGTTTCTTTCTTTCTCAGTGAAAGAGTGCCAACTGTTTACAGTACAGAGGTTTGATATGTAAACTGTTTTATCAGATGTGTGTTTCATTTTTAAACTTTTGTCCTGCTCGGACCTCTTAATTCATAAGCCACCAGAGTAGAAAGGTATTGGAAGGTAAAGAGAGCTTGTAGGCATGAATTCACTCTCAAACCTCTCAACGAAATAATTAAGGCGTGGTTTGTTTCCTTTTATGGAGTTCAAACTGTGTCCTTTGAGCTCTCAAATCCATGTGAACACCTACGGGAATGTGTGCCAACAAACACAAGCTATAAATCCTGCTGATAAAAAGGTGGAATTTCAAGGGGAGGCTTTTACACAGGAAATAGGTATAATATGGAAGAAATAAGGGGTAGGGATGGAAGAATCACCCTCTTACGCAATCAGTAACAGTCATGAAGCTGTTGTAAAACTGTTCCAAGGGCTCCCTGAGTTCAAGTTGAGTACTTCTAGAATTGGCTGCGTACAATAAAATAACTTGGAAACCATATGTATTAAAGCTTGAAATGCGGGAATACAAAGTGCCTGGAAAGATCAGATGACTTGATTGTAAGGCATTCATATAGTGGGAAGCAAAGGAAGGCATGCTGGGACAGGTCAGCTAAATTGCTTTGCAGTAGAATGTTTACACTATGTTTAACATATCCTCCTTTTTTTGTTTAGGAATGATTACATTTTATGAACAAAAGTAGCTCGATGATCTGCCAACCTTCCTTACACATCTGCCATCTACTGTTTTACGTGCGTGAAAGTATGGAAAGTCCAGTTTCAGTAGCTGACAAGAAGGAACAGCCTCAACACACGAGGCTGGAGTAGCTGCTGTTTTATGACCTTGTTCCTCTCACAGCCTGTTACTTTGACTGGCGGCTAGAGCACTTCCTCCCTAAAGGGATGAATTAAGATTCTCCCTCTTTCAAGAAACAAGAATATACAAGCATGTGTGTATGTGCTGATGCCGTCAGAGGCAGATACTTCCCATTCCAGACTCAAAACTAACCTTTGTTCTGTATGTGTTTTGCTCTCTTGTACAGAGCTCTGAAGGTAATGACACATGCAGTGCCAAACCCACTCTGGCGGCAATGCCATACTACAGACTAGACCTCTTCAACAGGCAGATGCAAGATGTCCTTTTCACTGCTGTCCTGGTTACCACTATTGGGAATCACACGCTGGGCCACTTTGGTACCTCAGATGGACGGATACTGCAGGTAGCAATATGCCTGTAGATATAATAGTACAATCTTTATGTGGTATGCCTCTGCAGTTTGAATGTATTATACAAAATATAGAAGTCTCTCTGATTTTTTGTTCAATATTAATAAATAACATTATTTCAAAAGTCTGAACTAAACATTTGTGTATTGTTACTGTCTGTCAGCCATAAGCATGTGTATATTAAGACTCCCAAAAACAAAACAAAAACTTGTGATTACCTCTCTGTTTTGTCGGGTTTAGATGATTCTTACTAGGGACAGGCTTATTGTTTTTGCCAACTATTCTCTGGAAGGGGCCGAAGTGTCCAGGACAGCCGCTGTGTACTCAGAGGATTCGCTTCTCTTTGTTGTTGGAAATAAGGTAGGATTTGTAATATCTACTACTGTGTGTCTACTCTACTGTTTATCTTTTAGAGGACAAAAAGGGACTGGGGCACAGACTAACGTTTTGACACAACTGTGTCTTCATCAGAGTCAAAATGGACAAAGAAATCAGGAAAATGTGTGTGCAGTCAACCTAGAATAGGTACACACACACAATTGTCATTGAATAATTGGTTGACAGGATTCGCATTAAAGGGTGGGAGTTCCACCAATTGGCACACCCTATGCACTATAATCAGATCAGTAACACAAGAACACAGATCCTAAAGTTACGAAAATAAAGTGCAAAAAGTAAAAGTACTGCATCAATCAAATGTAATGAATTAAAGAATTACCCCAACCCCCTCTTCCCTTTCCAAGATGTTCAGGGTGCCCTCTGCAGGACCGGGATGTGCACATCTTACGACGTGCTCCATGTGTTTGATGGCTCCACCCTTCATGAAGTGTGGCTGGTGTTCGGGAATCTGCTCGAGGCAGCATGAGTGTGTGTCGCAGTGGAGCAAAGACTCTTGCACACCTATCATAACAGAGGTAGATTGGAAGCCAGGTGTAACTGATTAGCCAACGCATGAAGTTTAAACACCATGAGTCATAAAGTGATTGTACAGAGATGCTGATTGCTGTTCTGCTTGATAACCCTTTTCTCTGCAGTTTTTCCCTAAAACGGCACCTGCTGGAGGTGAGACAGAAATGACAGTGTGTGGCAGGGAGTTTCAGTCTCCTCAGCGATCGGCTATTATCAGCGGCAAAACCCACATCATCACAGTGGGCTCCAGGACCTCGTGTACTGTCCTACCTGAAAAGAGCAGTAGTGAAATGTGAGTAGCACACATGCACACAATGCCACACACTGTTCATTGTCTTTGCATTTATGTTGGTACTGGGCACTGCGAGCCAAAAACCAACTCTGGAAGAGTAATTTGTTTAAATAAATAAAAATAGAGAGGATCCAAAGCTTTTCCTCCAACATGAGATGTTTTGGATCTATTTTCTTAATACTTTGTCTCCCAATGGTCTTATGATCTTGATATAAAGCTGTTCTTGTAAACCTAAACCTTATTTATTAGATTTGGAATGATTTTCTCTTCGTTAAAATGTTTTATAATTGTGTGGCTGGCTAGTGTTTTTAAAAAGTTAAGTAAACGTATTAAATTAGCAAATGACTATACATAGATCTACCATAATATGCATAGTCTCATGTATAGTCTTATCTTGTTATGCTGTAATTATCTTTTCCAAGAATACATTTTTTGAAACAAATAACAAAAAATCTCTTCTTTCGATATACTTCACTATGACATATATATGTTTTTTTTTGTGATTTCAGGCACTGAATGTATTTTATCTTGTTTATGTATTTTTGGTGGGCTACAATCTAGTGTGCACTTTTTTCCCTCATGAGCGAAATCAATAACAGCAAATGTGTTTTTTAAATAAAAAAAAACCTGATAGGAGAATCAATCACTGGCCATACACCGAAGATGTTGCATTATCCTTTGTATGGTTAAAACATTTTTTGAATTCTGTGCAAAATTTTCTGTCACATTGCCACATCTGCTGTTGTTCATTTCTTTCTGACAAGCTGGCTGGCTCCCTGGAATATTTTCATCTACATAATTCATAGACATCATTCCCTGTGTCCCTAACACAGGATAGTATGCAAGATTCAGGGAAAAACCATACCAAACCCGGACCTCAACATCACTCTGAAAGTGCAAGAAGGGCAAGTGGAGGGCCGCTACGCTATTAGAGGCACTGCTCAGATGCCTGGCTTTTCTTTTGTGGTGAGAATGCTAACTTTTAGATTACTTGAATTAATATATAGACATACACATTTATACATACATATATAAAAACAAAATTTGATATTGTTATGTGATCAAATATTTCACCTTTGTCTAATCAGGAGCCTAGCATAAGCGAAATCAGGCCTGACTATGGACCAGTATTTGGAGGAACAACAGTTACACTTGTAGGCAGATATCTTAATTCTGGGATACAAAGAGATGTCTTTTTTGCTGACAAAAAGTGCAACATTCTCAGGTGAGCAACACAGAAGACTACTTTGTTAGCACATGACCATGGTCTATAATACACCCATATCACTGTGTTCAGAAATTAAATTTAAAGTATTTAACACATTTGGTTATTGTGATCTCTGTTATTTTCAGTGCTCCTGAAGGAAATAAGACTTCAATCGTCTGCAACACTGCAGCTGCTGCAGTTGTCGGGAAGGTACCTGTGAAAGTCCTCATTGACAACTTTCAAGTGACGACCACTGAGATGTTCTTCTACAAGGAAAACCCTGTTATAACCTCTATACAACCTCACTGCAGTTTCCAAAAGTAGGACACAGACCCCAGCTCTGGTCTTATAAATGGATCCATACTTTAAATTAAGTGATATTACATTGCCTCACATAAAACAATTAAATGTTATTATTAACATGCTCATTTATACTGTCAAACAGTGGCTCTAAGCTGGTGATAGAAGGTCAGAATCTTGACTCTGCCCACAAAACTGTGGTTCAATATATTCCCAAAGATAAAAACCTCCACTCTCATCAACAAGTAAGTTAACTCTTTGAATTTCAATGAAACCAGGTCATTAAACTTGTGCAGAGAAATACAATAAAATAACATCCCTTTGCATTAATATATAAACTGAACTGCAGTTTGTGGACTTCTCTGTCTGGATTCCAGCAATGGATGGCCAGCCATTCTCATTCTTTAGTTGAACATGCTACATCACGACATGACATGCTTTCCTATTATGCCAAACTATTAAAGTAGCTGTGATTTCAAACATTATTCCACTTAAGGTCTGCGAAGGCACAACGAATGCCACACATATGGAGTGCTTGGCCCCTGCGTTTCCTGAAATGTCAGAAGACAAGTCTGAGACGGGAGATATTTTAATTCACATGGATGGAAAAAGTAACCTCTGGAAAAGACGTTTTGACTACTACTCTGATGTCAAAATCATTCCCTTTGAAAATGATGACAGCGTATTGCTTCTAAAACCAGGAGAGACGGAAGTTTCACTGCATGTATGTTTACACACTCTTACACTGAATTTGTCTATTTACGCAACACAGTTTTTGTATCAAAAATCTCAATGACGTTACTTGCACAGCACAGTTTGCAATATGTGTGCATTCTTCAGTATATTACAACCAATTACTACTTGTCTTTTAACGTTTGTTTTCACATATGTTACAGCATAGCAAACTGAATATAGTGAGCACATGTATGAAGATCATAATGACTGTTGGGGGTGTGAACTGCAATGCAAAGGTTCTAGTAAATGAGCTGACATGCAGGATTCCCAAAGGCCTGGAAATCCCCAGCGAAGGATTGCCAGTTAGGGTGAGAGAGTATGCTTTTAAATCATCAACCTTAACCTAAATTTACAAAAATGTATACAAAAGTAAATGTATTTAACAAGAGTAAATCATTTGTTCCAATACTATAGGTGTATGTGAATGGGGAAATTCATAATGTGGGTACAGTAGTCAACGATGACAACAACAACAACACTGTGATTGCGGGCATTGTGCTGGGCATCATTGCTGCATTGGTAGTAGGTGCTGGCCTTGCATTAATTGTGATGATCCATTTGAGGAAGAAAAAGAGAGGTGAGAAATGTCTTGATACATTTTACCAACCCAGAATACTTGCAATTGTAATAATCATTTGTAAACAGGTGCTCCTAATCTATGCTAATTCTGCACTATGGTCTGTATGTTATTGACCTGACCAACTGTGAGTTTCGCCACTCACTGTACTGTATATGTTCATAGTTCATTGTTTAGTCATCTTCATTTATTATGTTTCCTTTAAGCCATCATAGAGAATCGTTTATCAACAATGCTTTCACGGAACCACATAAGCAATGGCCCAGATCTCTCCCTGACCGGTGACTACAGACAAGGTGAGACATCCAAATTCATTCTTTCATTCATAAATCCATATTTACTGTTAATCAGTTCTTCCAGTTGTTTATTCCCTTCTCTTTTCTTCTTCCTGTAAACCCAACCCTCTAGCAGCCCTAGAAAGTACAACCTTTTAAAAAAATATATATTTTATAAATCATTGTAGTATTGTACAGACTGATAAATGTAAAACATCATGGCAGAAATAGATTTAATGTCTCAATATTCTTCAAAGTTAATATTCAACAAAGTCAAGGGTAAGGGGATAAAGAACAACCTGACCAATGAAGGTTAAAATATTCATAGATTCTTCTGTAATTCTTTCAGACTAGAATAATTGGTTTCCAGTTGAGTATTTGATGTTCTACACCTATTGTCCCATTCAACCAAATTCTTTCTCTGTACACATAGAAACACATTTTTTAGATTTGTCCATTAGTGAAGATTATATGAAATTAACAACCAACTTAAATTAAATAAAATGCTTATCACATATTCTGTTTAGTAAGGGTGGTACCAAAAAATGCAATGGCCTTTTAAAAGCACACAACCTTATCATTAGTTTCAATTGTGTGTTGTCCCTTCTGTGTAACAGTAGATCTGTCCAATCAAACATCAGGCTCTGGAGGAATGGCGTTCCAAGGTTTGTTGTATGCTGCCAGCTATGATCATCTGGCCGTTCCTTTAATGCCACGGGACGACATCTCAATGGTCAGTCTAAGTTCTGATCTTCTCGAAGAAGTCAAAGGTGTCCTGATCCCTGCCGAGATGCTCCGAATTGAGGAAAACCAGATTATCGGCAAAGGTGTGCCTCTTGTCTTTTATAATGTTTGTTTGTTTTGATCTTTCCTTCAACTATTGTGGTGCAAAACATTTATAACAACACATTCTCTTCTTATGCAGGCCACTTTGGGACAGTCTATCATGGTTACCTGATAGACAGCAAGCAAGAGATCCACTGTGCTGTTAAATCATTGAACAGTAAGTGAATACCCATTTTATAATTAAAATCAACATTTTATGAGCTTGTGGCTGTTGGATTAGTCTGTATAAAAGTATGTGTTGTATTAACAGGGATCACAGATTCGGGGGAGGTGGATCAGTTTCTCAGAGAGGGCATCATTATGAAAGGTTTCCACCACCCTAACATACTGTCTCTGCTCGGCATCATGCTGCCCAAAGAAGGGCTCCCTCTGGTGGTTCTACCATATATGAAGCACGGGGATGTGCGTCATTTCATCCGCTCTGAGAAAAGGGTAAGTTACACAATGAAACTTTGGGTCATGAATATTTGCTCTGTTAACTTGTCTACTACTTCAGTTATCTGATCAGCTCTGTCTAATACTTCTTTGTCTTCCTCAGAACCCAACAGTGAAAGACCTGATTGGCTTTGGGCTTCAGGTTGCCAAAGGGATGGAGTATTTAGCCCAGAAAAAATTTGTCCACAGAGACCTAGCTGCACGTAACTGCATGTGAGTGTGAATTATACACTTATTACTGGCCCATGACTTGTCAGTGGAGAAGCTTTCTCACGCCTAAAGAGGCCGTTTCGCTGCCCTATCATGTGGGTGCTATATTATAAAGATGTATTTAAGTTATTCAGTATCTTTTTAACACTTTGTAACAATTTTAAAGGTACTTTACATATAAGTGAATGTCAGTTACATTCACACAATGCTGATTAAGCATATTACAGAGCTGAAAGGGGGAAGCAACCTGCGAGTGCAGCAAGTATGGCAGAGCCTATAGGTCATACGTGCCTGTTGACAATGTTGTGTTTTTACTCTCGCTGTTAGGAAAGGGGGGGGGGGGGGACAAAAGTTCTGCACTGCAGGTTTAAAGAAGCAACAAACACTACAATGTTGGTTGGTATTGTTCTACAGTCAACTACAATCCTTATAGCTCAGAGACATTTATTAATCCTGAAAAATAATTTGGGGTTCTTCACAAAGTTAGCAACACCCCCAAAAATGTACCTGATTACCGTTACTCTTGTATTTTTCTTATTCATAACTAAACATGTAATTTAAAAAAAAAGAAGAAAGGAAAGCTCACCATGATCCCACCAAATAAAAATACAAGAATATTTGGGAAAATTTTAGACTGGCCAGTCCATCTGAAGGCTTCTTGGGAGGATAAATATTATAAATTGCACAACATTTTGGGAAAAAACGCTTTTGGCAAACCCGACCGCCACTGCTCATCAATGCTGACTTTCCAAACTTGTGTAGATTAAAGTTCACTTGACCATTTTGAGCACACCTTAAGTCTTGAGATGCGTTACCTGAACAGGAGAAACTGGCTGGTCTCTTCTCAGGCTGGATGAAACCTTCACAGTAAAGGTGGCTGACTTCGGCATGGCAAGGGACATATATGACAAGGAGTACTACAGCATTCAAGATCAGAAACGGGCAAAGCTTCCAGTGAAGTGGATGGCAATCGAAAGCCTGCAAACACAAAAGTTCACTATCAAGTCTGATGTGGTGAGTGTACTTTATCCAGCCCACTGAAATATGCTTGTTAAAACTTTCATGCATATATCTACACTATAATGCTTATGTGTTTCCCAGTGGTCATATGGGATCTTATTGTGGGAGCTGTTGACCAGAGGTGCTAGCCCATATCCAGGTGTGGACCCCTATGACATCACACACTACTTGTTGAAGGGACGTCGGCTTCCCCAGCCACAGTTTTGCCCTGATACTCTGTAAGAACCATACCTGCACCCTATAAATATCTCATATCATGATGACATTCTTATCATTTGCATTTTCTTCAGGAAACTCAATTCTCTGGGAATATTTATCCATGTTATGTAAATTTTATTTATTATTTACCTGCTTTACATGTTTACCCATGTGCTCACTCATTCACAAATTTAACAATTTTTTTCACTCCACAGCTATTCCATCATGCTGACATGTTGGGACCCAGAGCCCGAGTGCAGGCCTAGCTTCAGTAGCCTGGTTACAGAAGTACAACACGTCCTGTCCTGTCTGGAAGGAGAGCACTACATGAGTCTGAAGGTTAACTATGTCAACTTAGACCAGCCAAGGCCCTACCCGTCCCTGACTGGATCTGCCGATGAGGCTGAGGCCTCGGACTTGGAGGCAGACAATAATGTTGCCGGGTGAGGGTGCAAATCCATAAGACTCTCTGATACGAACACAGGATCTGGATCAAAGTTGGAAAAATAAAAAGGGACTACTTAACCTGGATCCATTTATGCCTGACCTAAATTGCTGATCATCTACAAATCTGAGCACATGGGAGGTTTGGCTACTGATTCAAAAGACACTGTAGGCTATAAACTGTTAATGGAGCTGAGACAAATTCATGCTGGAAGCTCCCCATTCTTGTTAGTACATTTTATTTGTAGCAAAATACAGACAAGTACATGCGGGTAAAAACTTTTTTTTTCAAAACATTTGAAGCACAATGATGGTGAATGAGACAAGATGAATGTAAAATGTGCTTTTGTTCTCAGATATGTAGAATAGGATGTGGGGTTACATGACACTATGTAGACTGTATATAAATGCTGACATGTGCTCAGGGGTTGACATTTTTTTAGTTTTTGGACAGATTTTTAGTTTTTTGGCGATTTGATAGATTATATCCCTTCAAATAGGCTATAGAATGTAGACTTAATACGAGGCTGTGTACATGTGAAATCATCATACTGAATTTACTCGACAAGATTTAGGACCATGGATACTATGTCAAAAGCTCTGCACCTATTGAATTATACAGTGAGCTGTCTGTGCTGTTCAGACATCAGTTGAGGCTTAGAAACACATCTAGTACTTGTCATCATCACTAGAGGGCAATCAACACTTCTTTCTGAGGCATACTTTTGTTGCTGCTGCAGTGATGCTCTGCGCTACAGCAGACAGCTCAACACAAAGGTGTTACACAAACAGCACAACTATATTCATCTGAACCTTAGAACAAACTCAGTCTTGCAGCTCAATCAACACAGCATATTGTGTAGCATTCTGTCCTTGCTGCACAATTTCGGGAGTTTCCTTGTTCCATGCGTGTAATTAAAATGATTTCCACAGCAAATTAGACAATCCAAGGGGTTTTAGAATAAATGTTTTCAACTTTTAGACAATGTATGGTTTAACCAAAAACAAATATGTTGACCAACAAGCTTTTTACCAGATGTAATAGATTTGGTTCTGGTATTCTTGATTTTGTTATTGCTGTTTTTTTTCTTCCTTCCACCCAAGATTGAACTTATGTTATTATTTCTTTGCTCTAGGTTGCACTGTAAAGAGTGTTTTTATACAGACAAATGGTTGATTACAAATGGCGCATACCTGTCTCTAAAGCGTGTCAACGAATTAAATGTCTCCCTTATGCTTGTTTTTCCTAGCATTATCTTGAATTAATACAAAGAAAAAATCTTGATGGACAAAAACGAAAGTATTACCTCATTCTTAACTGTTTTCTGGTAAAAACGTAGATCACTGCAGCAAGAGAAGGCACGCAAGTTCTTCATCAAAGCGGGTCATCAAAGCGGCTGAAGAAAAAATGACACAGCTCTTGTTCACTGCCAGGTGGTGAAGTGGAAACACACACACACACACACACACTGTTAGTCTGAATTATGTCAGGGAAAACTGCATGCTTCTGCTTAATCTGTGTATCTAGCATTTGTAATACTGTATGAATTATTTATGGATCTAAAAAAAGCTTTTTTTATCCCTTGCCTTCAGGTGCAGAAAAGGTGGCAGTAAATATGATAAGCTCTGGTTGTGTTAAGGTGGAGGCTAAGAATTTGAAAATGAAGTGATGTTTGCATCTAAAGACTGAACAGAAAGCCAAAATGATGGATAGTTTTTGCTCTTAACAACCATTGCATTTGATTTTTGCTTTTATTCAAGTCATGGAGAGGCAAACATAGGATGTACTTGTGTTTAAATGGTTACTGGTTCCAAACAAAAAAAAGAAAGAAAACATGACCGCAAATGATAAAGAGGAGGCGAGGGGTAGAAAACAAAGTTAGACATTAAATAAGCATTAATGAGCTGCACATGAACCCCCAGTGGAGAAAAGATACAACTTCCTGTACATCAGCCCGGGCCACCCAAAGAGTTGAAGCTTCTCTGCCCTGTGCTACAAAGTCTCCCAGATGTCATGAAATAACCTAAAGTTTTTAAAGCAAGTCTCCGACTACAGTTCTGCACAGATTTGGCTTCTGACTCTTCATAATGTCAACTTGCAGAGTCATCGTGTAAGAAACTTGCCAGTGCAGCTTCTTGGATTACATGAAGCAGTTGGCATTTAAAATAAAATTTGGCATGAAACAAAGACACTGACATTGAAATCAAAACTTGAAAAAAATAAAATAAAATTGGCGTCAGCCAAGTGAGAGTGAGAAAGAATTTTTTCAATGTTAACGTTTCCTCTTTTGCAGAGGACAAATGCATTACTGTAATTCTGTAAATATGAAGTAGGTTGTTAAGGGAGAAAGTAAGTCCTTTCAGCCAACTATGTGTGTCTAAACAAGTGTGTTGGCAGACTTCAGGAGAAACATTATTGACTATATATACACACACACACACATTACCCCATCCAAACCCAGTAGCACAGCGTGGGGGAATAGCTGCACTGAACAAGCTGAGTCTGGTCTAAAAATTCTTTTTGTTGTCTTCAAGTGTATATATTTATAAATATTTTACACTTTTATTTCACACTGCTCTGGTTTTGAAGCAGGATTTGGATGAAATCTGCGAAACTGCAAATATCATACCGCAGCTGTTGTGTGATCCATGGCAAACTGGACAAGGGAAAAGAAACTGTGGCTATCTATCTCCTGTCAACACTTATTATGCAAATTTGTCCTCCACTAAAGACAAAAGACTAAACGGGAGACCACGAGAAAAGCATGATTATGACAACCAATTAGCAGTCCTGGTGTAGCTGCCAAAATTTTAATCATAACTATAGATGATTGGTGTTAGAAAAATGGAGTGGGGTCCAAAGTCAGCTTCTGCGCATGCATGTCATTTTTTCTCACCAGGAACTGCAGTGATGAATAAGGAGCCAATATGATCCAAACACGACTGTTGCTAATTTGGATTAGCTGATAATGGGCTTTGTGAGTTTTAGCTTTCTGAATGTGCATGTTTAGCCTGATGTAAGCTAAATATGTATGGAACTAAATAATTCAACATTTAGTTTTAGAGATGTGATCTCTCGCTTCCTTTCTGTTGACTAATCAGAGACACTGCTGGGAGTTCATTGCTCTACAGAGACACAATTGGTAACAAAATATAAATCTGGATGAAACAGACATGGTTTTATGCCAGAGAGCAGTGGGGCAATGCCCCCCTCACACCAAGGCAGTGACAAAGCTCTGCCAACATGTTTGTATGGGATTTATCTGTATAACTCGACAAGAACGATCTGGTCCTTTTTGTTAGCTTTTGGCCTAAGTGGTAGTACCTGGTATTTATCTGTTTATTTGTCAGGGACAATGCAAAAAAAACACATTGTAACAGGTTCCAATAACTTGAACAGATGTGTTGCATATAGGGTTTCTAGCTGAAACTAATTTGCATCAGATGTTCTGCACTGCACCACTTGGTATAAAGTAGCTTGAGGAGTAGGGGAAAAAAAGTTGCCTGATTCACTGTTGTTGAGCCTTTTTCTTGCAGATGTTTTGAGCTGGGTGGTGTGCATTCAGCTTCTGGCGTTTTTCAACATTGCTCAAGGTCTCTCAGTTTTTTTCTAGATGTTTGTGACAAAAAGTCTGCAGAGGAAGATGGGAAAGAGAATATGAGAATGCATATTTAATTTATCACAAACAAATATACACATTGTTTGGCTGTCTGGTTTCTCCATTTGTATATTTGAAGGAACACTAACATTTGAAAGTACACTTTTAAATTCTTCAGTGTTTCTATACTTTTATCAATAATAAAGACACAGTTCTAATAAAAATGCATATAAAACATCTTCAAAATTACTTTAATCACTACTAAATGATAACATTAAGCATTCTGCGTGAAATCAAATGTGTACCATGGTATGTCATTTTGTATACTCATAATATCATACTTTTTAATCAACTTTTTTCTTAAGTAATTGACTGAATCGTTTCCATCTTAAAAGCCTAACTTCTTGTGCAAATATCTTGCAAGTGGGTTTGCAGCCTTTCTCACACTTTTGTTCTCTGAATTGAATCTGCTATCCTTGAGCTTGTGTACCATCAGTAGATACCTGAATAGCAAAGCAATCTTCCTCCCTCTCCCTTGCTCTTCTCTATTGTTGCATTGCATTCAGAGGGAGGATGAAGAGCTGGGAGGTCACAGATGGAGAGAAGTGTTATGTTTGTTCCTGTCTCTGCTCTCTGAGTGAATGTCTCCACAGATGGGATTACATTGAAAGGCGAACACAAATTTGCAGAGCACTGAAAGCGCTTTAGAGGCACAAGGCCATACCAGGCACATAGCTTACTGTACTTGTTAAAGAGTTTTTCATCATCCATCTTGTTATCAATATGCCATGGTATTTTGTATCATAAAAATGCTCACTCTGTTGCCACAAATTCTTGGTATACTGAATATGTTCTACATACTGAATGTGTTGTTAGGATGACTACATAAATGTACATACAGTGCTGTGTAAGGAAGAACGTGTTCAAGAATACACATTTTAATATATTCATCAATTAACAAAATACAAAGTGAGTGACCAGAAGAAAAATCTAATCAATATTTGTTCTGACCACCTTTTGCCTACACTTACGCTTGCACAAAGTCAAGGATTTTGTAGGCATATCATCGGGTGTATTATTAAACAATTTTACATACAAATGTAGGAGGAACACAACTGGGTGAGGAAAAGCCAAACTCAGCTAAGAAGGTGAGGTTACTGAAGACAGTTTACTCTCAAAAGTCATACACCACGACAAGACTGAGCACAGCAACAAGACAGAAGAAGTGGTTTGATCCCCATCAAGATAGCAAAAGTGTGTCAATATTTGTGTTTCTATATGTGTGTGAGACAGAGGTAAAGTTCAATTGTAAATTAAGGATTAGGATTTGAAGATATCTTCCAAACTGCTCTGATTGGTTAATATCACCTGTGTGTAACTGTAGTTACTGAAAGTGTCCTGTCATTAATGCGGAAAGAATGTCAGTCAACATGCAGCATTTGCTCATTCACCGTGAAAAAAAAAAGACAGTGACTTGTTTCACAACAGAGTGCCACACTTGGTCCAGCATGCCAGCTGTAGCTTTTTTGACACAGACATCGTTCTGGCTATGTTATGTTACTACCAACATTCCCAGGGCAGAGGCGGATCAAATCTGATCCCCCTTTCCAGCTCCATACCTTTCATAAAGTGCAGAGAGCTGGCATATTGGTGTAATAACCCCGGAAATTAAGGCAATGTGAAACTGCCAAATTGAGACATAGCCCTCTAAAAGTTCCTGTAGAAGAAGACACAAAAAAAAGCTTAAACTGTGAATTTGTCTGTGAAATTACCTCACAGTCAGTACCATATGGCATTTCTGAACATGTAGATATGTAATTTGTGTGGATAAAGGAAGATGTAACACATTTTGACTCTCAGCCTACATCCACACTACTACGTTTTTGTTAAAAAACAGAGTTTTAAAATGAAAATGATCTCCGTCCACACCAGCGTTTCAGTTGCATTTCCAGGTTGATCTACGTCTATATTAAAATGCCTGAAAACACACATCAAGTGGCCATTCACGTTGTCACATACTGGCTCAGGGAATGTGACAAAGAGGGAGTCCACGCAAGGTACTTAGTTAAAACAAGGGTAATTTATTAAACTAGGTGCGACAAAGATGCCACAGCATAGATGGAACCTGCAAGAAGGGAGAGACCAAACTGAATACATGGGCCAGCTTTTGTAGCCCATGGGCCCAAGTGAGCGCAGTCACCTGAAATCTTTCCCATTTCAGCCAATTACCTGCTAAGGTACCTTCAAACAGTGAGAGGGTTGTCAAAGCGTACACTGGGCATGTCCGTGCCGGTGTAGACAGGAAGCAGATTGTCTCTGCAACTGCAGAAGATTTGCCGAAAGAAGAAAGCACTACTACAGACGAATAACTATGCATGGACTGAAAGTACTATGGGAGTCCAATATGGCGGAAAACAGACTGAGAGTTGTAAATATGGCGACATGCACAGTACAAGTGTATACGCGTATTACAAAATATTTTTATAAAAATACCGAAACCAAAACACTGTCAGTAGCATCATGTTTTTGCTTTGCATGACTGATAAGACCCAATCAGGAAGCCAAATGTCAGTGTTTGTGTCATTGTTTTTAAAAGTCCTTAGTTTTCATCTGTCCACACTCAAACGCTACCCTGGAGTTTTAAAATGAAAACAGCAGAGTTTCAGACTTCTCCATTTTAGGTCTTCGGATTCGCC